TTACTGCAGTCTTCAGTGTCACATGATCCTTCAGAAATCATTCTAATATGCCGAGTTGCTGCTCAAGAAACATTTCTGATTATTATCAATTTCATTTCAGTTTCATAATTTTTGGAAATCATTATAAATTTTTTCAGGATTTTTTGAATATATATATATATATATATATATAAATATATATATATATAAAACTAAAAATCAGATGAATCAAGACTGTATACCGAATTGAAATCAAAACTAGTTAATTGATAAGAAATGTAATTACAAATACATACACACACACACACGTTAAAAATGCATTTTTCTGAAGTTGTAAATATATATATTTCACATTTAATTCATGTTTTACTTGCCATTTCTTTGTGATCATTTGTGAAATTTACTACCAATTTCTGAGTCACACACGCACATTATATATATATACATTTTTGTATTATTGTGTACTGAATCAAAACCCAGTGAATCAATAATAAAATCAATTCGCTGTCAACCCAAAGATTCACAGCCCTACTTCTAAGAAATATTTTCCACAATATAAAATAAAATAAAATTGTAAACAGAACAATGCTTAAAAATTCACATTAATGATGCAGATGTGTCATTGTCCAAAGCTAAATTACACAGTGTGAAAGAGACCAAAGAATCAGGAACTAAGTGAACTGAGCTGTAATGCTTGGTATGACGCTGTGCAGAATCTGATTCCTACCTGAGCCCTACAGAAGAACGGGCCGGGCTGACTGTTACATATTTGGCACATGGAGTCATCCAGATACGGGTCAATCTGGACCTACAGAGGGAACAGAAAGAGAGGGCGATCCACAGGGCTGATCCCACAGCATATGGTATATCTGAGTTCTGCTCTACTGTACCTTCTTGGTAAACTTGCAGGTTTTAATCTGCACAAACGCTGCAGTCACGGCTTTCAAATGAAATTTACTACCAATTTCTGAGTGAAAATACACTGGCAGCCAAAAGTTTGGAATAATTAAGATTTTAAAATGGTTTTGAAAAAAGCCTCTCGTGCTCAGTAATATTGTGATACAGTAATATTGTGAAATATTGCAATTTAAATTAACTATGTTTGCTATGTAAATATATTTTAAAATGTAATTTATTTCTGTGATGCAAAAGCTGAATTTTCAGCATCATTACTCCAATCTTTTTTCAGAATTTTTCCAGAAATCGTTCTAATATGCTGATTTGCTGCTCATTTATTATTGGTGCTCAGTTATTAATAATGGTTATTATTATTATCAATGCTGAAAACATTGTTTTTGCAGCTTAATATTTTTGTGGAAACAATAATACATTTTTCAGGCTTCTGAATAGATCAAAAGAACAGCATTCATTCAAAATAGATTTTTGTAACAAACGTCTGTAGTGATTACACAATTATAAATGTCTTTACTGTCATTTTCAATCAATTTAATGTATCCTTGCTGAATAAAAGTATTGATTTCTTTTTTTTTTAATCATACCCCTTTTGAATGGTAGTGTATCACATTTTCCATTAGGATATTATAATATTATAAATGATTAACTGTGTTCAACATTGATGATAATAAGAAATGTTTCTTAAGCATCATATCAGCATAACAGAATGATTTCTGAAGCATCATGTGACACTGAAGGCTGAAGTAATGATGCTGAAAATTCAGCTTTGCATCATAGAAACATTTTTACAGTATATTCAAATAGAAAACTTTAAATTGTAATAATATGTAACAATATTACAGTTTTTTACCTTATTTTTGATCAAATAAATAAAATCTTGGTACGCACAAAAGACTATTCCAAGCATTATTATTATTCCAATTATGCTAAACTTTTGGTTGCAAGTATAAATTCTACAACTATTTTTTTCAGTGTAGATGAGAGGAGAATGCACAGACCTATGGGATATTTGTGCTTGTCTGTGTCGATGCCTGCGTACATGACCCCTCCGAAGAGCTCGTCCATGATGTGGGCCAGACCCTCTGCGTTTAGCATCCCATGCAGAGCACCCACAAACACCGTCTTACTGCGGCAGAGACGCTGGGATGGACAGCGGATGAAATTGCTGTCTGAGATCACCCACGGGATGACCTGCACCTGCAGTACAGCGAGTGAGAGAGCGGGGTCAGAGGTCAGGGGTCGGTAATGGTGTATGTTTAAGTGCATATTATTCTCACATCTTTGCTGTGGATCCGCCTGCTGGACAGTTTGACGTAGAACTCGAGATAATCGTCAGACTGCAGGCGGTGCTGAGCACAGGCCTGCAGGAGCGTCTTCACTGACTTCTCCCAGTCAAACAGCAGATACACATAACCTATGCAAAAACATACAAGACATGAAAACAAAGCAGTTTCGGCAGTGACATAAATGTTGTGTTTTGCAAAGTTTGCTGCTTAAGCTGTTGTGGTGTTCATTCACATTGTTTCTAGATTATTGTGTAGAGTGATCACATGCATTTTAAATAATTGCTAAAAGCTTCATTGGCCAAAAAATGAACTTTTCACAAAAAAACTAATTTCTTAGAGCATAAACCAAGGTAGATTATTATTATTAAAAGTAGATTATAAATTTGAATTATAACGGAATAGCGTCACACACGGCGGGCTTGAGTGAGCGGCGGTCGGCGGGCTTGCGGCAACCACATGTGACGACATGTGACTTCTCATTTAGATTAGTGGAAATCAAAAACAGAGATTCAATGTCACCAAATAAACTAGGTAAAATAAGATTAATATAAATATATTATAAACATAAATGTACAAATATATCAATATATGCATAAATTACATTATTTTGAATAATGAAAAATGCAAATCAAATGTAATTTTAATAACTATGAAGCAGTCTGCAAATATCATTTGCAAACAAAATATCAGTTCCAAACTAAATATTTCTTAGTAAAATCAAATTTTTACTATATATAATTTAATAATTAAATGGTTTGATGATCATTTTATTGTCATCATGAAAGGCATTTTAAGTAGGTTTATTATTGTTATCTAAAAATATTAAAGACTTTTTATTGAAGTAAAATTACTAAACCTTGAAATTAAATTACTTAAATTACTAACTGGAAATAAATAAAAAGTAAAAGTGAATTAAAACTACAGCTGAAATAAAAACTATTTAAACCGAAAAAGTAAAAAAAAAATAATAATAATAATAATAATAAATA